GGCAAGGGGTGGCATCTTAGCCCCCGCCCCCCACCAAGAAAAGCACAGGACCCACCATACTAACATCGGCCATTTTGGCACAGAATGTTTTGTATTCAGAGTGTTTTGTAAATACAGGTTAAAATTAATTGAAGAGTTTTCTTATTTCTTTCTGTATTGGATGTGGTGGTAATGGCAGTTAAAGCAGGGTAGCGTAATGTATGATTTTGGATTTGTAATAATAAAAATTATAATTACATTTTTAATGCATTTTTATTTGAAATCGGACTGAAATATCATCTAGCTGTCATGTACAAATCTGTTCTGAAAAGTTAGTGTCTTTTATCCGATCTCAGAAACATTGGTTGGACAAACGGATGGATGGACAAACTGAATAATTAAGCCTCTGTTTAAAAAATGCTTAAAAAACATTAAAAGGAAAAAAGGGGCAAAATGTTTCCCAGTTTACCAAAAACCTCAGCCTAGATCTGTCCTGGGGGTTTGGGGTGGGGGTGCTGATTCCATGGTTTGCCTAGGGCACCAGTTGCTGGCAGCTAGTCTAGGGCTGCGCCTGCCCCCCTCCTGTGCCCCAACCCCTGCACTGTGCCCCCTTCACCCCAACCCCTGGATACCCTCCTATGCCCCTAACCCCTGTACTGTGCCAACTTCGCCCCTAACCGCTGCACTCCCCTCCTGTGCCCATGTGGGGCAACTGATCTGGATGCATGGAGCAGCTGGCACTTCTGCTCCCTCCCCCCTCAAACACTGCTCCTCTGCACACACCCCTCCTCCATAGGGGGCATCTATGACACAGCCTGGGCAGTCCCAAAATTGTTTCTCTCTCAGGAAGTGCTTGATGATTCTGCCAAATCTGGCCAAGGCTGTAGGTGTTAGCTAAGAACTGACACACTCCTAGCTGGAAACCAGACCAGTTCACCTGTATGTTAATTTTGTTCAAAATAGGTATTAGTCTTGTAAGAGTGTATTTCATGTTTAGATGCTATGACATGCTTGTAAATTGCTGCCTGCATTAATCTCACTTGTAATGTCACTATTCCAGGCTATCAGGAAATATGTAAATTTTTCTTTATATAACTGAAAATGTTTGCTCTGAACTTGTGAACCCGGGCACAGGAATTGTCCCTCCCCCCTCCATTTAGGAGGCCTATCAAGATTAAACAGGCCATTAAGGAACATCACAATACAAAGGATTGGTGAATGGCCCTTTACACCTTGGAAATGTTATGTGCATGGGCACTCCCCCCATAGGCTGGAAGACTAAACATAAAAGATAAAACAGGGTCACCCCAGAATTTTTTTCACCTCTGCTCTTTGAACTCTCACAGAGCCAGAGACACTAAACAAAATCACAGGTCCACCCTGAAAGATATTTTGAACATACAGATTACCACATCTCGGTCACCTTTAGGAACCACAGATGATAACTCATTGGTGTTTCTCTGTTGGCTTGCTTTAACCTGTACATAACTCTCATTTCTTTTTCCTGGTTAATAAACCTTTAGATAATTTATTACAGGTTCGGCTACAGGCGTCGTCCTTGGTGTAAGATCTAGGGCAGTGGTTCTCAAACTTTTTTTTTCATGGACCACATGAAAATTGCTGAGGGTCTTGGTGGATCACTTAATGATCTTTCCAAATGTTGTTTGTACCATTAGCTAACTATTGTAAAGTGCTTTGGATAAAAGCGCTATATTAAAAAACTTAATAATAATAATAAACATTTTTTGTTCTACAAATAAAAGCACACAACTCATATTTTAATATCAGTAGTCTTACCTTTCTAATGCGGTGGATGTGCCCTCTCTCCCGCATTGTGGCAGCCCCTGAGCTGGGGCTGGGAAGGAGAGGGGGTCTCTTCCCTGCCACAACAGTCACAGAGCTGAGGCTGGGAAGGAGGGCCATCTCTCACCGGCAGCTGCAGCCCTGGAGCTGGGGAAAGTCGCCTCTTTCTCCAGCTGCCGCAGTCCTGCTTGTCCCAAATTCCCCCCACCCGCTCTTCTCACCCCACTGCCTCCTCCCACCTACCCCCTATCCTCCCCAAGGCCACCACCTCATCTTACACATGCATCTTCTCCAGGGTCCAGGCACCTAATTAGTGGAGCCATACCTGTGCATCTCCACTAATTAGGTGGGTGGCCCTTCATTCACTTGTGTGTGGCCACCCAGGCACACACCTTAGAGGGAACTATTTGCGGACCACCTAAATGGAGCTCGCGGACCACAGTTTGAGAACCTTTGATCTAGGATACCAGTTGACCTGGGGTAAGTGACTGGGGTCTGGGAGCAACCTGAGTGCCATGTGATTTTTGGTGTAAGTGACAATTTATCACTAAGTCCATTTTGTCTGGGTGGCAAGATAGGCTGGCGAGTCTAAGGGTATGTCTACACTACGGAATTAGGTCGAATTTATAGAAGTCGTTTTTTTAGAAATCGTTTTTATATATTCGAGTGTGTGTGTCCCCACAGAAAATGCTCTAAGTGCATTAAGTGCATTAACTCGGTGGAGTGCTTCCACAGTACCGAGGCAAGCGTCGACTTCTGGAGTGTTGCATTGTGGGTAGCTATCCCACAGTTCCCGCAGTCTCCGCTGCCCATTGGAATTCTGGGTTGAGATCCCAATGCCTGATGGGGCTAAAACATTGTCGCGGGTGGTTCTGGGTACATATCGTCAGGCCCCTGTTCCCTCCCTCCCTCCGTGAAACCAAGGGCAGACAATTGTTTTGCGCCTTTTTTCCTGAGTTACCTGTGCAGACGCCATACCATGGCAAGCATGGAGCCCGCTCAGGTAACCGTCACCGTATGTCTCCTGGGTGCTGGCAGATGTGGTACTGCATTGCTACACAGCAGCAACAATCCCTTGCCTTGTGGCAGCAGACGGTACAGTACGACTGGTAGCCGTCATCGTCATGTCCGAGGTGCTCCTGGCCACGTCGGCCAGGAGCGCCTGGGCAGACATTGGCGCAGGGACTAAATTTGGAGTGACTTGACCAGGTCATTCTCTTTAGTCCTGCAGTCAGTCCTATTGAACCATCTTATGGTGAGCAGGCAGGTGATACGAATTGCTAGCAGTCCTATTGCATCGTCTTCTGCCGGGCAGCCATGAGATATGGATGGCATGCAGTCCTTCTGCACCGTCTGCTGCCAGCCAAAGATGTAAAAGACAGATGGAGTGGATCAAAACAAGAAATAGACCAGATTTGTTTTGTACTCATTTGCTTCCCCCACCCCCAGTCTAGGGGACTCATTCCTCTAGGTCACACTGCAGTCACTCACAGAGAAGGTGCAGCGAGGTAAATCTAGCCATGTATCAATCAGAGGCCAGACTAACCTCCTTGTTCCAATGAGAACAATAACTTAGGTGCACCATTTCTTATTGGAACCCTCCGTGAAGTCCTGCCTGAAATACTCCTTGATTTAAAGCCACCCCCTTTGTTGATTTTAGCTCCCTGAAGCCAATCCTGTAAACCATGTCGTCAGTCGCCCCTCCCTCTGTCAGAGCAATGGCAGACAATCATTCCGTGCCTTTTTTCTGTGCGGACGCCATACCAAGGAAAGCATGGAGGCCGCTCAGCTCACTTTGGCAATTAGGAGCACGTTAAACACCACACGCATTATCCAGCAGTATATGCAGCACCAGAACCTGGCAGAGCGATACCGGGCGAGGAGGTGATGTCAGTGCGGTCACGTGAGTGATCAGGACATGGACACAGATTTCTCTGAAAGCATGGGCCCTGCCAATGCATGCATCATGGTGCTAATGGGGCAGGTTCATGCTGTGGTATGCCGATTCTGGGCTCGGGAAACAAGCACAGACTGGTGGGACTGCATAATGTTGCAGGTCTGGGACGATTCCCAGTGGCTACAAAACTTTCGCATGCGTAAGGGCACTTTCATGGAACTTTGTGACTTGCTTTCCCCTGCCCTGAAGTGCATGAATACCAAGATGAGAGCAGCCATCACATTTGAGAAGCGAGTGGCGATAGCCCTGTGGAAGCTTGCAACGCCAGACAGCTACCGGTCAGTTGGGAATCAATTTGGAGTTGGCAAATCTACTGTGGGGGTTGCTGTGATGCAAGTAGCCCACGCAATCAAAGATCTGCTGATATCAAGTGTCGTGACCCTGGGAAATGTGCAGGTCATCGTGGATGGCTTTGCTGCAATGGGATTCCCTAACTGTGATGGGGCCATAGATGGAACCCATATCCCTATCTTGGCACCAGAGCACCAAGCTGGTGAGTACATAAACCGCAAGGGGTACTTTTCGATAGTGCTGCAAGCTCTGGTGGATCATAAGGGACGTTTCACCAACATCAACGTGGGATGGCCGGGAAAGGTACATGACGCTCGCATCTTCAGGAACTCTGGTCTGTTTCAAAAGCTGCAGGAAGGGCCTTTATTTCCAGACCAGAAAATAACTGTTGGGGACGTTGAAATGCCTATATGTATCCTTGGGGACCCAGCCTACCCCTTAATGCCATGGCTCATGAAGCCGTACACAGGCAGCCTGGAAGTAGTCAGGAGCTGTTCAACTACAGGCTGAGCAAGTGCAGAATGGTGGTAGAATGTGCATTTGGACGTTTAAAGGCGCGCTTGCGCAGTTTACTGACTCGCTTAGACCTCAGGAAAACCAATATTCCCACTGTTATTACTGCTTGCTGTGTGCTCCACAATATCTGTGAGAGTAAGGGGGAGACGTTTATGGCGGGGTGGGAGGTTGAGGCAAATCGCCTGGCTGCTGGTTACGCGCAGCCGGACACCAGGGCAGTTAGAAGAGCACAGGAGGGCGTGGTATGCATCAGAGAAGCTTTGAAAACCAGTTTCATGACTGGCCAGGCTACGGTTTGAAAGTTCTCTTTGTTTCTCTTTGATGAAACCCCCTGCCCCTCGGTTCACTCTACTTCCCTGCAAGCTAACCGCCCTCCCCTCCTCCCTTTGATCACCGCTTGCAGAGGCAATAAAGTCATTGTTGCTTCACATTCATGCATTCTTTATTCATTCATCACACAAATAGGGGGATGACTACCAAGGTAGCCCAGGAGGGGTGGTGGAGGAGGGAAGGAAAATGCCACACAGCACTTTAAAAGTTTACAACTTTAAAATTTATTGAATGCCAGCCTTCTTTTTTTTGGGCAATCCTCTGTGGCGGAGTGGCTGGTTGGCCGGTGGCCCCCCCACCGCGTTCTTGGGCGTCTGGGTGTGGAGGCTATGGAACTTGGGGAGGAGGGTGGTTGGTTACACAGGGGCTGCAGTGGCAGTCTGTGCTCCAGCTGCCTTTGCTGCAGCTCAACCATACACTGGAGCATACTGGTTTGGTCCTCCAGCAGCCTCAGCATTGAATCCTGCCTCCTCTCATCACACTGCCGCCACATCTGAGCTTCAGCCCTGTCTTCAGCCCGCCACTTACTCTCTTCAGCCCGCCACCTCTCCTCCCGGTCATTTTGTGCTTTCCTGCACTCTGACATTATTTGCCTCCACGCATTTGTCTGTGCTCTGTCAGTGTGGGAGGACTGCATGAGCTCAGAGAACATTTCATCACGAGTGCGTTTTTTTTTCTTTCTAAGCTTCACTAGCCTCTGGGAAGGAGAAGATCCTGTGATCATTGAAACACATGCAGCTGGTGGAGAAAAAAAAAGGGACAGCGGTATTTAAAAAGACACATTTTATAAAACAGTGGCTACAGTCTTTCAGGGTAAACCTTGCTGTTAACATTACATACATAGCACATGTGCTTTCGTTACAAGGTCGCATTTTGCCTCCCCCCACCACGTGGCTACCCCCTCAACCCTCCCCCCTCCCCATGGCTAACAGCGGGGAACATTTCTGTTCAGCCACAGGCAAACAGCTCAGCAGGAACGGGCTCCTGTGAATGTCCCCTAAAGAAAAGCACTCTATTTCAATCAGGAGACCATGAATGATATCTCACTCTCCTGAGGATAACACAGAGAGATAAAGAACGGATGTTGTTTGAACGCCAGCAAACATACACTGCAATGCTTTGTTGTACAATGATTCCCGAGTACGTGTTACTGGCCTAGAGTGGTAAAGTGTCCTACCATAAAGGATGCAATAAGGCTGCCCTCCTCAGAAACCTTTTGCAAAGGCTTTGGGAGTACATCCAGGAGAGCCGCGAATGCCAGGGCAAATTAATCCTTTCACATGCTTGCTTTTAAACCATGTATAGTATTTTAAAAGGTACACTCACCGGAGGTCCCTTCTCCACCTGCCGGGTCCAGGAGGCAGCCTTGGGTGGGTTCAGGGGGTACTGGCTCCAGGTCCAGGGTGAGAAACAGTTCCTGGCTGTTGGGAAAACCGGTTTCTCCGCTTGCTTGCTGTGAGCTATCTACAACCTCATCATCATCATCTTCTTCGTCCCCAAAACCTGCTTCTGTGTTGCCTCCATCTCCATTGAAGGAGTCAAACAACATGGCTGGGGTAGTGGTGGCTGAACCCCCTAAAATGGCATGCAGCTCATCATAGAAGCAGCATGTTTGGGGCTCTGACCCAGAGTGGCCGTTCGCCCCTCTGGTTTTCTGGTAGGCTTGCCTCAGCTCCTTAAGTTTCACGTGGCACTGCTTCGGATCCCTGTTATGGCCTCTGTCCTTCATGTCCTGGGAGATTTTCACAAAGGTTTTGGCATTTCGAAAACTGGAACGGAGTTCTGATAGCACGGATTCCTCTCCCCATACAGCGATCAGATCCCGTACCTCCCGTTCAGTCCATGCTGGAGCTCTTTTGCGATTCTGGGACTCCATTATGGTCACCTGTGCTGATGAGCTCTGCATGGTCACCTGCAGCTTGCCATGCTGCCCAAACAGGAAATGAGATTCAAAAGTTCGCAGTTCTTTTCCTGTCTACCTGGCCAGTGCATCTGAGTTGAGTGTGCTGTCCAGAGCGGTCACAATGGAGCACTCTGGGATAGCTCCCGGAGGCCAATACTGTTGAATTGTGTCCACAGTACCCCAAATTCGGCAAGGCCGATTTAAGCATTAATCCACTTGTCAGGGGTGGAGTACGGAAATCGATTTTAAGTCGAAATAAAGGGCTTCATCATGTGGACAGGTGCAGGTTTACATCGATTTAACGCTGCTAAATTCGACCTAAAGTCCTAGTGTAGACCAGGGCTAAGGGGACTGTCTGTGACTCCAAGGCGAGACTGATAGTGATCCAGGAGTTCACATTTGTTACTGGCTTGGAGAAATCTAATCACAGAACAAACCACCAGTTAAGGGTGTCTGCCCTGTTTTTGACAGTCTGCCCTGAGGCAGGCACTTACTCACAGCCATGAGCTGCGCCAGACAGGCTGACATAGGGATTAAAGAGTGATTAATGGGGAAGACAGGTTTATTCCCTTCCAGTTCATTGACTGATCTCTCCTCTCACACTGACCCTGCAACTCTCTTTCCCAGTGCATGTGACTCTGGATCCAGGCACGGCTCATCCTGTCTGTGGATCGGAGACATCTGAGGCTCAGAGACACATGGGAGGACCGGCCCAACAATCCAGAACGAGTTGATCCTGTTGGTGGCTGTAGTTCTCGAGCAGGTGGCATTACTGGAAGGTGAGGGTGGGAGACGAGAGTGAGAGGGGACTGGGGGCTGGTAGGGAACCTGGGAGCAGGAAGGGAGTGAGGGGGTATATCACCTGAGCATGGGTACTGACTCCTCTGGCTGAAGGGAGATTTCTGCCACCCCCTGGCTCCTTCCCACCAACACAGTATTACTGGCCAGTCCCATCTCTTCACTTTTACTGCCACCTTCTCTGGGTGCCCTGTCTTTCCTTCATGGCTTGTGGTGAGAGTGGCAGGGGTGGGGGAGGTGAATGCGGGTACTTTGGCAATCTGCCTGGTTACAGAGAAGGGCTGAGGGGCTCTGCCAGTGGGAGCCAGGGGTTCTTTTGTTTAGATGTGTGAGGGCAGTTCAGATGATCTCAGCTGACAACAGACACACAGGGAGGGAGGCGAGCTCTGTAATACTGAGGATCCACAGTCCCGTTTCTCTGAACAGGGAATGAAATGCAGTGATAAGGATACAGGACTCACCATTGAGAAATGGACGGCCCCAGGAACCACTGTATACTTCATGTGTAGAGTCCTACCAAATTCACGGCCACGAAAAAACATGTCACAGACCGTGAAATCTTATCTCCCCCATGAAATCTGGTCTTTTGTATACTTTTACTCTATACTACAGGGTAAAAGTATACAAAAATACAGCATTTCTCAACTTGGGTGTCCCGATCTAAAAGGGGGTTGCAAGGTTATTGTAGGGGGGAGTCACATTATTGCCACCCTTACTTCTGTGCTGCAGCTGGCATCGGTGTTGTCTTCAGAGCTGGGCACCTGGCCAGCAGCCGCTGCTCTCAAGCCACCCAGCTCTGAAGGCAACGCAGAAGGAAGGGTGGCAATACTGTGAACCCCCTACAATAGCTTTGCAACCCCCTTTTGTGTCAGGACCCCCAGTTTGAGAAACAGAGGCTTAAGGGCTTTACATGTTTATATTTTGCCATTTTAAAATACATATTATGTTTTATTACACCACCATGAAATTTAAGATTTAAATATCTGAAACTGTGAAATTCAAGATTTTTAAAATGCTATGACTGAAATTTATGAAAATGGACCATGAATTGGAGATGTGAGTGCACCGTACAGCACTACCGACTGACAGAACCATCATCTGCAGTCACATTATCTGGGCTAATGGAACCTTTCTGCCAGGCGGTGACAACAGCAACAAGGGCTGGGTTCAATATCTCGGGGTCCCTCTTAACAATACAAAACAGAACTGGCTATAGCTTCCACCCAGGAATCTGGGAAAACTGACCACTACCTCTGGGTGCCTCTAAGAGGTAGTACTGCCCCACTCGCAAGCACTGAGTCTGTGTATAACAAAAGAGAACTTTTATTAGAATGGAAAAGGAACCAAGTGGTAAGTTGGGAAAACACCACAACCACTTTCCAAGCATGTGACCGCAGTGTCCTTTTCCTCAATTTCCCACATTGCAGTGGGAAAGTCCAATGAACGAATGTCCCTTTAACACATCTCACTCCCCTCCCCCACCGCTGCACCTCACTCACAGTTGCTGTCCTCGGTATGCGAAGACCCAGAATTCAGAGGTACATTCAAAAAAGGAGCTAGGGGGGAGCACTGAGCTATGTCTCTGCAGTTGCTATGCACCTCTGCAATTGGCTGCTTGCCTCTGCCTACTTGCTGCCGCTGTTGGATGTTCACCACCACTTCTGTGACACCATGTTCTGAGGTTCCACCGCTTAAGCCAGGTCTTTGGTGATTTCAGTGGGTAGGAGGGAACCTCACTGCCAGTACAGCTTCTGCATTGTCCTTCATTTCACTACTATCCCAGCACCAGGTCCAAGGCATAGCCCATAGACTGGCTATCAGGGATTCAGCTGCGGTAATTGCTGAGCAGAAATAATGACTCTCAACTGAGTCTAATCAGCTCTGTTTTTAAATCCTGGAGGAGGAAAGATCAAATGGTGCCTAGAACTCTTTAAACAGAGTCCACATCACATACAAACCCTGCCCCTCCCTTTCCCTTTATAGGGATTTGACATCTCTAGCCCCTGCTTAGCAAGTGAGGTTCAATATAGGGTGAGCCCTTCAATCAGATCAGGCAAAGCACAGTTCTGCTGCCCTTTACTTGTCCAATCAGGATAACAACATTTCATTGCCCCTGCTTTCAAATACTAGAGTGATTTGTAACTCAAAACCATCCAGAACTGATCACTTTGGCAAAGCAGCTCTATCTCCTGCCCACCTAGGCAGAGTAGGCATCAGTGCAAACACAGTCTGCTCCTGAAGTCCTCCCTGTCCCCCCCCCCCGCCCCCAGCTCAGCTCTAGAGGTTACGGGAGAGCTCATTCAGACCCCATTTACACTTTTTAACGCAGCCCAGCCTCTGGGTTGTGTTAAGCCATCTCTGTGCCTTGAGAGGATGTTTACACTAACCTGACCAGAATGACCCCCCGGCCTTCTTCCTTTGTGGTTACAGTTCGTTTCAGCGTGTCTACCTAACACAAAGTGTTCTTTCCAGCGTGCTTCACTTTATTCCTCTCTGTTCTGAACTTCACCTGCCTCTGTGCTGCCCAATCACCCAGTAAACTCAAATCCTTGTGATCAATGAGAATTGTTCAATAGCACTGAAACCCCATCGCTTCCTTGCTTCAAAGTGAAATGAGCCGAGATCAGGCATTTTGTGTACTACAGGAAAAATTGTTTAGGATTCATTATCTCTGCATCTCATTGCTAGAGATGAACAATTAGCTCATACTGAAGAGATGAGCAATTAGCTCATAATGATGAATTTCTTCTAGGAATTGAGCATATTTGCCTGCAATGTAGATCTGCAATGTAGATCATGATTCCCTCAGATGTACTGGTTGTTGAAAGAGTATCTTTTCAAATTGCTTCACTCTCTGGTTTAATTGCAAATACTCCATTGCTGAACTGTCAAGTGTGTTCCTTAGTTGTACTAGGCCATGTAAGTCACATGGTATTGTTTATTCTTGGCTCGATTACTTTGAATTTAAAATCTGGTTTAATGGATTACTCACATGGGCAACTTGGAAATTCATTTCCACAGACACCTGTGATAGTAAAGCCCAATTGCTTGAGAGCAAATGATCACAAAGGGGCATGAACAGGGCCAAAGAAAACCCAGGCACAAATTCAAATAATCTGTGTGGAAATTGGTTGGCATTATTCTCTGAGCTCTGATCATTATTGACCAGAACCTCAGCTCTAATGGCGCCCTGCTTCCTTCCCCCACTGATCCCCACCTGCTGTCCATATCCTCCACAGGCCCCAGCTAGTCTGCTGGTTCTGCTGACACCAGCACTATGGCTGCTCTTCAAGAAAACACGTGAGTTTAAGGAATGAAACTTTTATGAACATGTGACAGGCACTGACCAGACCCAGCAGGAAATAAACAACCCAAGAACCGTGCCGGAGGGGAGAGGGTTTGTATGACCCCAGCCCTAAAGTACTGAGGTAGGCGCAGTGGAGATGGGAATGGGGAGACTTCATTCTAGGGAGCTGGCACCAGTAGTAGGTTTCTTCTTTCTCCCTTGCACCAGATCAGCAGGGGGCAGAGGGACTCAACAGCACTGAGGAGCGCCAAACCCACAAAGCCAAGGGGTCATCGGCCACTGCCGCTTGCTATGCCATGAAAGGGCAGGCAAAAGACTGGTGCCATGGGTGGGAATCAGCAGGCAGAGCTGCTGTTCCCATGGCGGCTGTGCCGGGGGTCTCACAGGGATTTCCCAGGCTGGGGGGTAGAGATGGGCAGAGCTGCTGTTCCCATGGCAGCTGTGCCGGGGGAGAGGTGTGTGTCTTTCACAGAGATTTCCCGGGGGGGTGGGGAGGGGAGAGCTGCTATTCCTGTGGTGGTCATGGTGGGGGGAGGGGCACAGCAGCTGTTCCCGTGGTGGTCATGGTAGGGGAGGGCCAGAGCTGTGTTCCTGTGGCAGCCATGCTGGGGTTTGGGGAGGGGCAGAGCTGCTGTTCCTGTGGAGTCAGTGCTGGGGGTCTCACAGGGATTTCCCAGGCTACGGGTGGGAGATGGGCAGAGTTGCTGTTCCCGTGGCCATGCTGGGCTCTCACAGGAATTTCTGAGGCTGGGGGTGGGGATGGGCAGAGCTGCTGTTCCCACGGTGGCCATGCCAGGGGTCTCACAGGGATTTCCCATGCTGGAGTCTCCAGTGGGTGATAACGTTTGAGCTCTGAGTGAAGCTTTTCCCACAGTCAGGGCAGACATAGGGCCTCTCTCCTGTGTGGATTCTCTTGTGCTTGGTCAGGGCAGAGCTGGTGGTGAAGCTTTTCCCGCAGTCGGGGCAGATGTAGGGCCTCTCTCCCGTGTGCACTCTCTGGTGGGTGGTGAGGTGAGCGAACTGGCTGTATCCCCTGCCGCACTCGTCGCACTGATAGGGCTTCTCGGCCAGGTGGGTTCTCTGGTGCCTGGCCAGGTACGTGCTGGTGGAGAAGCTTTTCCCGCAGTCAGGGCAGTTAAAGCACTTCTCTGTCTGGTGCGTCCTCTGGTGCTTGATGAGGAGGGAGCTGTCAGTGAAGCCTTTCCCGCAGTCGGGGCAGACATAGGGCCTCTCTCCCGTGTGCGCTCTCTGGTGGATTGTGAGGGATGAGCAGTCCCGGAAGCTTTCCCCACAGGCCTCGCACCGATAGGGTCTCTCGCCTGTGTGCAGCCGCTGGTGCCTTGTGAGGTTTGAGCTGCTGCTGAATCGCCGCCCACACTCGGTGCAGGGATAGGGCCTCTCGCCTGTGTGCGTTCGCTGGTGTTTAATCAGGTCTGAGTTCACATTGAAGCTCTTTCCGCAGTCCCGGCACCGGTAGGGTCGCTCTCCCGTGTGCAGACGCTGGTGCGTGATGAGATGCGAGCTCTGGCTGAAGCAGCGCCCGCACTCCGGGCACTGGTAGGGTCTCTCCCCCAGGTGCAGTCTTTGATGGGTGATCAGATTTGACCTCAGGCTGAAGCTTTTCCCACAGTCCTCACACGTGTTGGGTTTCTCCCCAGGGCAGGGTCCCCTGTGGATCGTAGAGTCATTGTGTCTCCCAAAATATCCCCGAGTGTGACCGGGATTCTCCTGTCTCTCTTCTGGGTGGCTTTCCTGCTCCTTCTCTGACCTGCCCTGACTCCCGCAGGCTTTGCCCTGCTCGGGGGAAACATCCCCATCTGATCTCCCTGGTCCCACCTCATACAGTTCCACTTGCTCAGGACCTTCCTGCTCAGGGTTCTCCTCCTCGCTCTCACTCACCATCCCATCACCTGCTGGGACAGAGACAGAATACTGACAGGAGTCACTCCCTGTGCCAGGGGAAACAAACCAAAGTAACTGCTGGGGAGATCAGAACACCAGGAGCTGAATTCCCCTCTCACCCACTCCTGAGAGGAGGGGGCAAACTGAACCTCCACATCCCATCCAAACACTCTGGGGAAACTCAGGTGTTGCCAGGTGTGAGTCAAGGGGTTGGAAGCCGTGAGTGACATCTGCCATGAAGTTACAGCAGCTGGGGACAATCCTGACAACCCAGGAGTTCATGAGCTCTTCGAGGGAACCTGATTTTTCTTCACTTCCTGTTTTTCCCCCAAGCTGGTTTAACTGATTCCTCACCTGTTCAGGCCTCCCTTGCCCTGGAGATCAGACACCATAACTCTTCTCCTCATTCCAGATGGGAGACCACATTGCTTTTCTGAGATCAGGGTGAATTACTTCTTTGTGGGATATTTATCACAGAGAATGTTCCCAGGTTTTAACCTCAGCCCATTTCAAAGCAGTGAAATCCCTGGGCCAGCTCTCCAGGGCCTCAAAGTCCAGCCACTCTGCTAATGGGGAACTGGACTCCCACATCTCTGCTCAGAACACACATCCAGACACACATCATCAAAGGGGCTCCTCAAATACACAGACAGTACGTCTGGATCTCAAAAAGAGGAGGCCTAACCCGCTATGGAGCTGCCTGGATCTGCTTCTCACTGCCAGAGCTGAGCCCAGTGAAAGTGAGAGGAGCAGAGGGAATCTTGGGGCCCATGAGCACAAGTGAGGGGCTCATAGGGTGACCAGACACCCCAATAAAATCGGGACTGTCCCAATTTTTAGTTCTTTGTCCTGTGTCCCGACTGATGCACGGTCGGGATGCCATTTGTCCCGATATTGCGGCTTTGGCCACTCCGGCAGCTTTTTTTTTTTTTTTTTTTGCTTCCCCCGTGTGTCCCGATATTTTGTCCATTTCATCTGGTCACCCTAGGGGCTCAGCACAGTGATAATGGGAGGGTTTGTCAGAGGATGCAGCAGGACAGGGGAGTGAGATTTCAAGAAACTGCATTTTGGGGAATGAATGAACCTAGTGAGTCAGCTTCAGCAGCCACAATAAAAACCGTAACTGGTAACAATAATGAGAAGAAGCACTAAAATCCCCAGGCTCTGTGCATGCTGGAGAAAATTACCCTTTAACAGTATTAATTATGCGTATGGGGCCCTACTGTGCTAGGCACACACATCTATACATAGCTAGGCACCGTGTACACACATACACAGAGCTTAGGCACCGTGTACACACACATACGCACACAGCTAGGCAGCGTGTAAACACACACACGCACGCAGCTAGGCACCGTGTACACACCCCCAGACTCGCACACAGCTAGGCACAGTGTACATACACACACACACACACACAGAGGTGGGCACCGTGTACATACACACACACACACACACACAGCTAGGCACCGTATACACCTCCCCACACACACGCAGATAGGCACTGTATACACCCCCACACACACACAGAGCTAGGCACCGTGTACACACACACACACACAGAGCTAGGCACCGTGTACACACACACACACACACTCTCTCTCTCTCTGAGTCCCTTGCCCTGAAGTGCTTATCATGGCAGAGGTCAGTTTTAAGGAGGAATCTGAAGGGGGACAATGGAGTGGCTTAGTGTAGTTTACAGTGAGCTCCTCTCATGCACTGAGGACAGTGGGGGTGAGTGGGGGCAGGAAACTTGAGGGCAGTACAGACTGATGGGTAGCATGGCTGGTATCGCTGGCAGAGCAGAGGTGGGGTTCTGCCTCTCAATGATCTGGATGATGGGATTAATTGCACCCTCAGCAAGTTTGCAGATGACACTAAGATCGGGGGAGAGGTAGATATGCTGGAGGGTAGGGATAGGGTCCAGAGTGACCTAGACAAATTGGAGGATTGGGCCAAAACAAATCTGATGAGGTTCAAGGACGACAAGTGCAGAGTCCTGCATTTAGGAAGGAAGAATCCCATGCACCGCTACAGGCTGGGGACCGACTGGCTAAGCAACAGTTCTGCAGAAAAGGACCTAGGGGTTACAGTGGATGAGAGGCTGGATATGAGTCAGCAGAGTGCCCTCGTTGCCAAGAAGGCCAATAGCATATTGGGCTATATTAGTAGGAGCATTGCCAGCAGATTGAGGGAAGTGATTATTCCCCTCTATTTGGCACTGGTGAGGCCATTCCTGAAGTATTGCATCCAGTTTTGGTCCCCCCACTACAGAAGGGATCTGGACAAATTGGAGAGAGAGTCCAGCGGAGGGCAACAAAAATGATGAGGGGGCTGGAGCACATGACTTACGAGGAGAGGCTGAGGGGAACTGGGGTTATTTAGTCTGCAGAAGAGAAGAATGAGGGGGGATTTGATAGCAGCCTTCAACTACCTGAAGGGGGGTTCCAGTGAGGATGGAGCTAGGCTGTTCTCAGTGGTGGCAGATGACAGAACAAGAAGCAATGGTCTCAAGTTGCAGTGGGGGAGGTCTAGGTTGGATATTAGGAAACACTATGTCACTAGGAGGGTGGTGAAGCACTGGAATGCGTTACCTAGGGAGGTGGTGGAATCTCCATCCTTAGAGGTTTTTAAGGCTTGACAAAGTCTTGGCTGGGATGATTTAGCTGGTCTTGGTCCTGCTTTGATCAGGGGGTTGGACTAGATGACCTCCTGAGGTCTCTTCGAACCCTAATAGTCTATGACTCTATGATTCTTGATAACACATCGGAGATGGTGGGTAGGACAGGGCGAGGTTGTAAAAGGCCTTAAAAGTGACACAAGTCGTTTATATTTGATGCATTGAAGGGAGGACCCGGGAGGATGGGGGTGGGGAGTTACTATGGTGACAGCACAAGCCAGGAAGATGATTTTTGTAGCAGCTTTCTGAATGGCTGTAACAGGCCTAGGATGGTGTTTGTCATGGCCAGAAGGGAGGAGGCTGCAGGCCAGGAACCTCAGGGACATGGCAGCTGAATTGAGGAAGTGCAAGGGTTCCCAAACTGACTCACCCTGGGTCATTTCAATACAACCAGCATAATTACAAACCAGTTCAGTCTCTAATGCAGACAAGGCTGCAGGCTCTGGGAGGGGAAGGGATGTGGACAATAGAGTTATTCATAGTCAGGTTGCGCTCAAAGACCCCAAGCAGGATCAGGGCCCCATTGTGCTAAGTACTCCACAAACACAGACAGAGACAGGATCCCTGCCCCGAGGAGCAACTCAGAGTCCAGTTTAAAGCCTGTCTGTTCTGGGGAATTTCAGACTTGCTTTCAGCAGGGGTGATCAACACAGCTCTGAAATCAGCTGCCACTGAGTCCTCTGCACCAGCAACACCAGTGGGGTGGCTGATCCAGGCACAGCACGCCGATACAAGAGATTTTTCAGCCGCTCTGTTCTGTGTAAGGAATACAGCACTAAGACTGCTGCGCTGCCACCACTAGCTGAAGCGGCGAGAGATAGAAATTAAATTTGTTTAAAATAATAAAAAACAGAGTGGTGACAGTGAATGATAGTGTTAGAGTATACTTAGATATGTATATTTGTTTATAATTACAGAGGTTTAATAGTTAACAAAGATAGTTTTAGGTGGTTATGGCTAGCGATAACAAGATGGTGGTCACAAGCAGTCACAGTCAGAGAAATCCAAAATGGATGTCTGGGAGAGATTTGGCCAATAGCAAGCAGGCAGGCTGAGCAGAAATAAAGATCACTCCAAAACCTGAAAGTAAGTCAAGAGGTAAGTCTTCAAGCAGATCAGTCAAATAAGACACAAGTTTTCAATCAGGTCTGGCTTTGATTGACAGATAGGTTAGCACCCATGACCAATCAGAGAAGGCTAGAATCTGTATATAAGGCAGAAAGCTGGCCGATTTTAGTCAGTGTGAAGTGAGCGGAAGGAGAATAAGAAGAAAAGAGTTAAAATCACTTAAGAAGAGACAAGCAGTGGCAACACCAAAAACAGTAACAGCAGAAGGAGCTCTCAGAGGGAAAAGACGACAGTGGAGAAAGTAAGCAGGATAATCCTCTTATAAAGAATTATTAAACTGCATGAATGTGTATGCATGGGATAATAAAGCTGGATGTTTGTGTATGCTATGATTTAGATGTGTAAGAGTTTGTTTTCAGCATTCTATATGTGTCTGGCCATCTCACATAGAATGTAACCACCTGAAGCTATTTTCAGTTGTATGGTATTGCAATTTTGAATACTTTGTGTATCTGTGCTAATAGACTTTATGCCTTGATAAGAAAATATACGGATTCTTTATTCTTTTAACAAATTTGTATTAAGGAACATTGTGCTAAATAAAGAATATTTTTGTCCTCAAAGAATACTGCCTGAGTGTCAATCCTTTGAGAGGAAGCCTGTCTGTTTCCTTCTAAGGATCAACAGAGCGAATCTGTTCTGGGGAGTCCTCTAAAGTTTGGAGAGAAACACCCTGGCAAATGCTCTAGGGCAGGCCATCCCCTTTTAATTACCAAAATAGATAAATTAATAGCGTTATTGGGGTAGGCAGGTCATTGTGGGGTGCCTCTAATTTTGGAGGTAACAGCCCCACATAGACACAAGACAATGAGTGAGTGTAACTAATGCCGGTAAGGAGGGATCTGGGTTTCCAGTCTAATACAATCAGATGTTTTAACTGTAATAAAGACAAATGAACAAACTGATGCTCAAGCTACATTTACTTGCACAGTATTTGGAAAAAGCAAACTTGCAGCAAGAAGGGACGGCAGATTAGTGGCCTCAGAGATCAGATAGTTAAATGGACAGTGTCAACTTAAAATCACAGTGCTGTCTGAAAAGCTCTCGCCTGCTACTGCTGCAGGTGACACCTACCATCAGTGTCAATGAAGGGTTTAGAGCATTTTCTGTTTCACCCCCGTCTGCTTTGTGCTAGTGCCAGCACTTGGCATAGAAGTTTCGCTCTTTCCTGTAGTGTTGGCTTCTCCCTTGTAGTTTGTAGACAGCTGCCAAACAGTAATGGGGGAGGGAAAAGCCTTCTGTTTTAAAAATGGGGGAAAAAAGGTTGTACAACCACAAAAGTTGGCTGCAGGCCTCTAGGCAGAGCCAGCACCTGGGACTATATGTAATGCATTGTTTGGAAATGGACTTGATTCCAGGCTGACAGGCCCCAGGGAACTGCTCCAGAGATTTCAGAGTTTGTTTAGCCAATTCCTCACCTGCCCAGGAGCCTCTTGGACTCTCCCTTTTCTCAGCACCCTGGAGATTTGGGACCCACAGCTCTTCCCCTTGCTCCATCTGGAAACCACACTGGGTTTTGAGAATCAGAAATCCTGCCAAGAGGGAAAGAAACCAGACGAGATCAGGGTGAATTACAGAACCATGGAATATTTGTTACCAAGAACATTTTATGACTTCAAGCCAGCCCCTTCCTGCACTGAAGATGGGTGAGATCCAAATGGATCAGAACATGTTTGTGGAGGCTATTTCGGGAGCCAGATATCTAGGGAACATGTTACACCCCCTGTAGGAGCGTTAGACATCTCAAAGCATCCAGTGTTCTGCAGGGACATACACAGCCGCCTGTTCCATGTCCCCCTCGAGCCACCAGCTCACATCAAGGCAACGTGGCTCAGGTGTGACTTTGACTGTCATATGCTCGGTCTAGGGCTGAGTTAACATTTGCTCAAGGGAGAGTTTACCCTAAGACATTTCATACACCAGGCCTGGAGTCCGCAATGGCTCATATACATGCTTAACTTTGAGCCCAGTGAGGATTTAGTATTCCCAGGAGAAGGGCCTATGTCAGAGTTGCCAATTCTCACACTGTTACTGTGACTCATGGGATAGCTCACATTTTTCTTAAAGCCCCACTCCACCTCCTGGACCCAAGTGATAAGACCAAAATCTTATTTGTTTTATTTTGGTAAAAAACAAGTTTCTAGCCATTGTGGCTTCAGAGAAAAGCTTAAAAGCACGAAGTGGCTGCACCCTAAAGGTACAGAACCCAGAGGGCAAAGAGAAAAGAAGCAGAATTTCAGTATTTCAAAAAACCTCATGATTTGTAAGCCAATCTCCTGATTTTGGGGGACTGAGTCATGATTTTTCAACTGCTGGGGCTGGCAATACTGTTTTCTGGCCTTTTTCATTGTTATTTACACTGATAGATGTGTCAGCCCTTTGTCTGCAAAGGGACAATTTATGATAAATTAGAAATAAAATTTAGAAAACATGAGTAAACCTCAGTGCTGGATTAATGTCAGGCCTGCTAGGACATTTTTTGGGAGCAATATCAAAATGTTTGCAGTGAAGTGCAGCTCCCTGGCAGCTTCTTAGCCCATGGGGGGCTGCCTCTGCTTTGCCCTTCCTGAGGAAAAAGGAGTTTGGTTAAATAAAAAGGGTGGGGAGGAGAGAAATCAAAGAATGAATCACTCCCTCCCCTCTCTGCACACACCTCCCAGTGATTCAGAGGGACCTGGCTGGCTTGGAAGGAGCAGGGAGTCTGTAGTGGGCTTGGAGTCTACCCCCAGCTGCTCTGCTGCAAGAAAAGCTGTTACTATGTTAAGGACTTTCTCCTCCTTTAGGTCCTTTCCAGCCAGGACCCTGAAGCCCTGAATAGACCTCGTTAGGTTGGCAGGGTTGGTGCCTCTTACCTCCCTCGCCCGCATTGCTCCTGCTGGCCCTTCCAGTCTCTCCCCCTGTCTCCCTCCTGCCTCCTCTCCCCTCGGGCCGGGAGACTCGGGCCCTGGCCCGGCCCAGGCCGTTCACCCTCCCGGCGCTGGCTCGGCTCTCGGCTCCTACAGGCTCGCGGGGCGGGGGGGCAGAGCCTGGGGGGGGTCAGGGAGGGCGGCAGCTCCGGGACTCGCAGACCCCCGCCCCTCCCCCCGGGAGCAGAGATGGGGCGAGGAGGGGCCGTTGGTGCAGAGTCACTTTCCTGCCCGGCCCCGGCCCTTTCCCCGGGTCTCTCCCCTCACCTGCAGGCTCCGGCTCAGGGGCTGGTGTCGGCAGAGCCCGGGGCTGCCCCAAGGGCTGGCTCCAGCCCCCAGAGAAAGCCACGATCCTGGAGCGCTGCAGCCCGGGCTACTGATACAGGGCACAGGAAGGGGCTGGAGTAGCTGAGCGCGGTAGGTGCTGGGTGGTGGTAGGGAAGACAGGAAGGGGACAGCGAAGCACGGAGAGATCTGAGCCTGTGCAGCTGCGGCCCGCACTGAAATTTGTTACCAGCGGCTGTCGCCTCCATTGTGGGCCGGGAACCCAGGTTGAGCCGCTGCTGCTCCCCTGCGGGGTGTGTTCGGGGAGAGCCCTTCCCTAGCGCCCCTCTGGGCCCGGCCCAGTGTGGGGGAGGAAAATATCTGTTCTGATTTAACATCCTCACCGCAGTGTGAGAAATCTCTCAACACACATGGGGGTTTGTCATCCCCCAGTCCTCCAGCTACTGGGATGGTGGGGGGAGAGACACAACACAATGTTTGGGAAGAAGAAAACAAGCAAAACTGTGTCTTTATTTTTAGGAAGGAAACACTCCACAGTGTTCTTAGGCGTCCCCCACGTCCCCTGGAGAAGCACAAAAGAGCACAGGCCTTAAGTCTTCTTCCACTTTGATAGATCCAGAAGGGACCATTAGATCATCTTGTCTGTGTATCACACATGAGTACATTTTACCCAGTCATCCGAGCCCAGTCACCTGTGTTTGGCGAACACATCCTCCAGGAAGGCAGACAGGCTGGATTTGAAGAGGGCCAGTGATGGAGACTTCTCTTCAGGGCACCTTTAAAGACAGCCATGAAAAGCATTCCACCCAACTCTCCAACTTTAGATTTTGTCATTTTATTGCTATTTCTTCCATATTGAAAAACAATCCCATCTCTCTTCAATATTGATTTGAAAAAAATTATCTCCAGTTCTGCCACATTTCTCTCTATCAAACACGGATATAAAATCTATTCAGCTTCCCCCCTCTCTCAAATTATGGAACATTTATCTATTGCCCCACCCCATGTTTTGCCCCTTTATCGAATATTGCTAAGAAATCCGTTCAGATCTTTGCCTTTGCTTATTGTCAGATATTCTATAAAACATCTCTAATTTTCCCACTTCCAAACTAATCAAGTATTGATCTAAATCACTTCAGATTTTCACTCTTTTCAGTTTAATTATTGAATATTGCTATTAAATCTTCTCAGATTTCAGGCTTTCCATGTAATTATCAAATACTGATATAAAATCCTCTCAAATTTGTATTTTTTCCCCATACTTAATAGTGCCAACATCTCCTTTTTTTGGATGGAAACTTGTCCTGATCCATTGGGGGCCAGCGGGCCCTGAGCTCTTTTGGGAGTTTGGCCCAGAAAACCCTGATTTCCTATCTGGGTTATCTTGAGTAGGCCGGTTACTCAATGAAGGGGGAGGGGGGAGACAATAACAGAAAATGTGGAAAGGGCAGAGGTGCTCAATGACTTCTTTGTTTCGGTTTTCACCAAGAAGGTTGGTGGTGATTGGACGTCTAACATAGTGAATGTGAAAATGAGGTAGGATCAGAGTCTAAAATAGGGAAAGAACAAGTCAAAAATTACTTAGACAAGTTAGACGTCTTCAAATCACCAGGGCCTGATGAAATGCATCCTAGAGTACTCAAGGAGCTGACTGAGGAGATATCTGAGCCATTAGCGATTATCTTTGAAAAGTCATGGAAGACGGGAGACACTCCAGCAGACTGGAAAAGGGCAAATATAGTGCCCATCTATAAAAAGGGAAATAAGGACAACCCGGGGAATTACAGACCAGTCATCTTAACTTCTAACCTGGAAAGATAATGGAGCAAATAATTAAGAAATCAGTTTGCAAATACCTAGAAGGTAATGAAGTGATAAGTAACTTGTCAGCATGGATTTGTCAAGAACAAATTGTGTCAAACCAACCTGATAGCTTTCTTTGACAGGGTAACAAGCCTTATGGATTGGGGGGAAGTGGTAGATGTGGTATATCTTGACTTTAGTAAGGCTTTTGATACTGTCTTGCATGACCTTCTCATAAACAAACTAGGGAAATACAACCTAGATGGAGCTGCTATAAGGTGGGTGCATAACTGGTTGGAAAATCATTCCCAGAGAGTAGTTATCAGTGGTTCACACTCATGCTGAAAGGGCATAACAAGTGGGGGCCCGCAGGGATCAGTTCTGGGTCTGGTTCTGTTCAATGTCTTCATCAATGATTTAGATAATGGCATAGAGAGTACGCTTATAAAGTTTGCGGATGATACCAAGCTGGGAAGGGTTGCAAGTGCTTTGGAGGATAGGATTAAAATTCAAAATGATCTGGACAAACTGGAGAAATGGTCTGAAGTAAACAGGATGAAATTCAATAAGGACAAATGCAAAGTACTCCATTTAGGAAGGAACAATCAGTTGCATGCATACAAAATAGAAAATGACTTCCTAGGAAGGAGTACTATGGAAAGGGATCTGGTGGTCATAAATATGAGTCAACAATGTAATACTGCTGCAAAAAAAAGGGAACATAATTCTGGAATGTATTAGCAGGAGTGTTGTAAGCAAGATACGAGAAGAAATTCTTCCGCTATGCTCTGCACTGATTAGGCCTCAACTGGAATATTGTGTCCAGTTCTGGGCGCCACATTTCAGGAAAAATGTGGACAAATTGGAGAAAGTCCAGAGAAGAGCAACAAAAATGATTAAAGGTCTAGAAAACATGACCTGTGAGGGAAGACTGAAAAAATTGGGTTTGTTTAGTCTGGAGAAGAGAAGACTGAGAGGGGATATCATAACAGTTTTCAAGTGCATAAAAAGTTGTTTCAAGGAGGAGGGAGAAAAATTGTTCTTCTTAACCTCTGAGGATAGGACAAGAAGCAATGGGCTTAAATTGCAGCAAGGGAGGTTTAGGTTCAACATTAGGAAAAACTTCCTGTTAAGGGTGGTTAAGCACTGGAATAAATTGCCTAGGGAGGTTGTGGGATCTCCATCATTGGGGATTTTTAACAGCAGGTTGGACAAACACCTGTCAGGGATGGTCTAGATAATACTTAGTTCTGCCTTGAGTTGCAGGGGACTGGACTAGATGACCTCTTGAGGTCTCTTCCAGTTCTATGATTCTATTAATATACCATGTAAGTGGGAACACATTTTGTACGTGGAATTCATTGCCATGTGGATTACAGTGCTGTGTGCTCTTGTGACTCAACCTGAGCGCTGGTTAGATACAAAATCATAACCCCACTGGGCAAATTACCGGGTTAACACAAAGACTATGGGATAGATTCAGACAGGGGCATGGGCACTGAGCTGCCTCTTTAGGTGCCTAAATCCAACATTTAGGTGCCACTGACATTTGCAAACCAACGCTCAGTTGCCACCTAACCCTGTAGGTGCTGTGACAGGGTCAGGCCAGATGGCTATGGAGAGTAATCCTATTGGGATCCGGGAAGTCGGCGGGCAAAGCATACAAAATGATGATTTAACTGGGAATTGATGATTTAACTGGGAATTGGTCCTGCTTCGAGCAGGGGGTTGGACTAGATGACCTTCTGGGGTCCCTTCCAACCCTTATATTCTATGATTCTATGATCCCACCCCAGCCTAAGAGGGGGATCCACAGGACCTGGACACCAAATAAATACGGGGGACAACTAATGAAATAACAGGGACAGGAGTGTGGTCAAAGGGTCAAACGAAAGGAACCGGACGGGGACACCGAGCAGAGAACCCTGGACCGCGCCCACTGCTCCTCAAAGGCATCAAGTGAGTCAGTGGACGCCCCCCAGAGGAACTCTGCCCGGATACGTGAATGGACAGAGGATCCGAAATAGGCCCCACAGTCACAGGAGACTCCATCGGCCAACCTCCTCACTCTGGTTTTATAGATGGCCATTTTAGCTAGGGCCAGGAGGAGGTAGACCAGGAGATCCCATGACTTTGTGGGGCCATGGATAGGGAGTGCATAAATAAGAAGCTGAGAGGAAAAGTGCAACCAAAAGCCTAATAAAATATTGGTGAGGAGCTGGAATAGGGGCTCCAAATATATGTGTGCCAGGGTTTCCCTCACGCAGCAAAAGGGGCAGGTGTCTGGGATGGGGTGAACCACGCCAAGTACATGCCCGTGCTCACGGCTCCGTGAAGGAGCCGCCAACTGGTATCCCCGGCAGGCCTCGGGACCAAGGTGGAATATAGGCTGGCCCACCGGCACGCCTCACCCTCCAAAGGTGGCAGGAGGTCCTGCCATTTTGTATCGGGGCGGGACACAAGGGTGAGGGCGTGAAGGGTATGGAGCACGAGCGTGTATAGATGTTTCCTTGGCGCGGTCTGAAAGCAGACCGGCTGCAGCTCATGCAGCTGGCTCATGGTGAAGGGGTGGGGGGGTCGGTTGGTCCACAGGGCAGGGGCCCAATTAAAAGGTCCGGTGGGCCTGGGGTGGAGGGTGGGCGGGGCACGCCCTCGTGCAGGACCCAGTCAAGGTAAACCCAAGCAGTGGGCGGCAAAGCGGCCCTCACCTCCTAAAGTATGTGCTGTGGAGTACGAGGTCTGGAGAGCCCCATGCGCTGAGCGAGCGTCAGGGGATCCAGCCAGTCTCCCCGGTCATAGTCCAGGAGATCTCTGACTCTTGTGACTTCTGCCAGAACCAACTTCTGAGGAGGACTCTGCCACCTGCACACAGAGCTGGGGGTTGTGTAGCAGGGGCTCCGCGAGGAGATCTGCCCCCTCGGTGGCCCCCACCGACTTGGTCGTTGAAAGCAGTTTCCAGGTGTGATGAAGTGGGACTGTTCTTAATGTTTCCTCTGAATATTGTGGGGGTGCCTCAGTTTCCCCTAGGCAGTTCTTAAGTATCTAGGTGGTGGGATAAGGGTGTATGATCATTGCAGAGCCCTAGAGGGCAGGTGTGTGCAGGGGTCTGGACACAGAGAATGGCCAACACCCTGTTTCCTGGCAACTGATGGCCTGCGCTCTTCCCCCCTGCAAGGTGAGAGCTAAAGGGTTTGAGAACAAAGGAATCAGGTGACCTCCTGGCCCAGGAAAGGGACAAAGCCCAGAGGAGGAGGGGCTGGAGAGAGTTTCAGTTTGGGGCTGGCTGGGGACATGGAGTGAAGTGCAGATGGGGTTGTGTGGCTCAATGCCCCCCCGAAAATGGATCCGGCTGAGGGGTCCTGTTCTCTGTACCTATAAGCTCTGTGTTAGACCATGTTCCTGTCGTCTAATAAACCTTCTGTTTTACTGGC